ATATCTATATATATCTATATATCTATGTATATATATATATTTCCATATTATGGGCTTAGGATTGCTACAGCCCCAGCGCTTTTGACATACGCCATAAGCGCGCAGTGAAGCATTGTCAGACGCTGAACCGTTGTTTTCCACCCCAAGAGCCCTGCTTGGCATTGCTGCCTTCGCTCCCTTAGGAGTAGGCCAGGCGACTCCGGCGGTTTGGGCTTCCACGCTCGTCCTGGCAGCGGCAGTTTTGGATGCACACCACACTACTGGGCCGGAGGTGAGGCGGAGACTAGCAGAGCCCCTCCATGGATGGGACGCGGAAAGAAGAACGCGGAAGCGGCAGCTACACGGCCATGGCGCCAGCAAGCCCATTCCCATCAGGATGGTGGGGATTGGTCGTTGTGGCGTGGAGCTTGGAAAGCTTCTCCGGGCAACCATGGCAAGCCGGGAGCTCGGGCACTTATGTTGCATGAAAGCGGAGTGCTCCAAACAAGCGTGGCGCACATCAGAGACTCAGCGAACTTCAGCGTGACCGAGAGCGGACCCCCCTATGATTCTTTTCCGAGGGGGATCGAAGCGATCAACCTGAAGGGACAAGCACACATGCTCGACGTCTGCACAAGGAGGACTTACTGGGCATACTCACCTGCGGGGGAATTGAAGTGCAACCGCAAACGGGCTGACATCGAAAGCTGCACTCAGGGTCACCACAGGCAAGACAAGTCATGCGGCTGCCAGAATGATGAATGCAAGCATGCGCAATTCCGGATGCACTAAGTAGGAAGCGAACCTGGCCGCATGCATGCCGTTCGTGGGGCTGTGCCTTAGGCACCGCCCTGGCCTCCACTGGCGAGGAAGCGAAAGGGGCTGGTCCCGAAGTTGCTCACTTGAAGGTGCATCATCCCCTGAGTACAGCTGAGCGGAACCCGGGATGCGGCGATGTCCGCGCAAGAAGCGGGAAGTCAGTGGTCTGGATAGCTGTGCCATCCAGCGCAGAAAAGTCGCTTTCAAGCTGCGCACGGTGTATTCTTGAGCCTGCGCCACGGCCATGCCAGATTCCACTAGAAGGTCACGTAGCCGAAACAAGGTTTGCGCGTATGAAGCTGGTGAGAAGCTCTCCATGTAAGAACACTCAGTCGGGTGTAGTCTCCCCTGCAAAGTGAAGACCTTCGGATGTAAACAGGCATACTTCCACACCCGAGAGCCTTCTCCGCGGGTGTATCCATTGAGAGAAGCTGCCCCTCTAGGAACGCATGAAAAGCAACGGAAGCGGGATGCCCTCTCGCTTATCCTTGTTGAAGGGGGTCACGAGCAAAGCAAACGATGGGCTGTAAACGTCGGGTATGGCCTCAACACCCAAGACTTTACAATACCACCGCAAAGTTTTCAACACGTTCTGCGCATTCGATAACGGCCCATCCTCTGAGGTCCGAGACAATGCGAAGAATGCACCCAGGAAGGTTCCCTGTTTGGCTTCATGAAGAGATCCCCCCGGATCCTCAAAATGGTGAAGAAAAGCTGCACCGATCTGAAGTACCGGGCCGCTGTGGTATCATTCACCTTGGAAAGGAGGCGTCGCCTGATCGACTCGGCGTGCACACTTTCAGAAAGCTGTGAGATCACTGCATTAAAGCGGCCGAGCGCCAGGCATAGCTCCCCAAAGATTTCCGCATTTTTGGCGCTGACTTCAGAGTGCTGAGCAGCTGAGCTGAAAAAGCCGGGAATAGTCTGGGCTGGAGATGTTCCTTCCTTCGGGTAGGCTGCATAGGAGCTAGATGGCTTAAATAAGGGCAAAGATTTGGCTGTTCCGGGCTGCGAAGTGGCTGAGTGCTGCACCGGAGTAAACCTGCGAGCGGGGAGCAGTCAAAGCTCACAAAGCCTGTCCTTCAGGGAAGCCTTTGCCAAGCGTAAACCAAAAGTGCGACCTTGCCTGTCAAGTTCCTGAAGAACGTTGCGCAAAGCTGGGCTGTGAGGCACGGGCGAATAGGCCATCAACGCTGCTAAGCTTGCTTAACTTAAAACTGCTGAAAAATCAGCCGTGACAGCTCCACATGCTAGAGCAAAGCAAAAGCTGAAGCTAAAAAGTCTCTAGCAGAAGCTACGAGTAAACTGATGTTGCGTGGTGTGCTTGCTTCAGCCCAAGCGGGGGCGACAGGAAGGACATTACCAGAACCACCCTGAGTGGGCGTCGCTCGCTTTGCCCATGTGGTCGCAGGACACGGCTTGTATATACTGAAATTTATTGCAGGTCAACGATAGGCTTTTTTGTGCCTGTGTAAGGACAAATTGGCGTTGCCGAGAGTCATCCGTGCCAGGATACTTGGCCTCAACGAGATCGTCTTTGTCAAACCTACCGGCATCACCTTCCGCAAACTCTCCCCACCTCAGCAGGGTACTTTTGCATCCAAGAGCTCCGGCTGGAAGGATTAAACTTTCGACGAGGGACTTCTCGTCCGTCGACCGGCCCCAGAAAGCCTTTCCCAGCGATGTTCCCCGGTCCTCCTGACACAGTTAGACGGACAGCTTGCTTCTCCAAGCACACAGGGTCAAGAGCGTCAAACCAGTCACAAGCAGATAAACGATCGTTTGTTGCGTTTGCCAACCCCGTCATAGGTGGGTCCATCGGCAACCCTGGATGTACGGTCCCAAAGATTCAGAGCAACGATAACACAGGCAAGCTTACGTTTGCACAGAAGCGCAGGACCGAACCGAAACACATCCGTCAATGTCCGTGCCTGGAAATACATCCGTGGCCAGTTCTTCTCGCTTTCTACATCTGCCTCACCCGGAAGCTTCCAAGTTCCATCAAATCACAAGAACCTCATGACTCCTGCTGTCGGTTTCCGGCCTCTGGACCCGCATGGCAAGGAGGAAAGGTCCTGCTGCTCCTGCGGTGCAACTGGCCCAGCTGGCCAGACATGAACAGGCCCACGGCCCACCTGGAACGCATCGTTGACCAGGAACGGAAGCAGAGTCCTGACGGAGCTGCTGAGAAATTGGATAGAAGACGCACTCTTTGCCAGATGCTCTACTGCCATGTTCTGCGGCAACTCACTGGGCAGTAGGCTCCTGCGGAAAGTAACACGATGCCCAGGAGGCTGAGAGATCTGCGTCCTCACAGCAGTGACGCCACGGGACTAGATTTGTCTAAGCTGATACTTCGCATCTCACCGCCCATCGAAGCTGTGAAACCTGCGTTGGAGGCGAGTCACCAGCTTTGAGCATGCGTGGATTCATGGCGCACAATTTGGCAATCACAGTGATCACCGCAGGAGCTGGTGATGTTGAGCATATTTCCGTTCAGCATTTGTAGCTTCGTGTTGGGGGGCAAAAACGCGATGCCTGCATTTCAACTTTTCTGCTGCCTGAGCCTCAAAGCCAGCACAAGTCACTGAGTGCAATAAGCGCGCTTCAGGCAAGCCTTGCCTCGCGATCCTGGGTGCGTAGAAAAGGTGACGACGTCCGCGCGCAGTGCACGGCGACCTGTGGGAAGGATGTGGGAATGATGTGAGCAGCTATGACAAGCTATGAGCTGTGGTGCTGTCAAGCTGCAGGCACGTAGCTGGCCGAAGCCTGCAGACTCGGAAAAAAAGGGGGGCAAATTGCGAGGGGCACCCCATCGCCCATCCCGCCGCCGGCAAACACGGGCCGGTCTGCACAAAGGGACGGCCCTGCCAGAGAAGTGTCGCGGTACTCAGTTCATTTCAGGTCTCTACACGTCTTTCCCTGAGGCAAGAGCCAGCGGTGTTTGGCTGCGTGAAGACGCACGCGAAGCCTCGGCCCTCCCGGGGGGGCATGCTCCGCCCAGCGAGTCGACATGAAGCGAGGCCAGCATCTTCGGAATAAACAGCGAGAGGGCACTTCACCTTCGCGGGAACGTTTTTTTCTGTTCCCTGCATGCCCTGCATGTTACCAACACGTCTTCGATTGGTCGGCTCGCGGATCATGAATTCCGCTTCTCAAAAAATATCAATGCGACGAGCCAACTAAAACTGAGCAGAAATGACCAGACCGCAAAAGGAAAGCTCCGTGGCTCCACAGCTCTCACGAGCGCACTGACACAAAATGACGTGTCCAGCTCTACGAGCTGATGCTCTGCACATCTTTGCACGCTTCCCTCTCTTTTTGCTTTCTGTGCCGCTTTCATTACATGCCCATGCCGATGTTGCTCCAGAGTGGAATTGCTCCTTGACGTCCATCCTTGACCGAAAAGTGCTACATTTGCATAACGCGCAACTGGAACACTAGACCCAGGCCGTACAGGTCCACTTCTTCTCTTTCTCCAGCAGCTCAACACCAACAGACCTGGACAAAACAAGCGCAACCCGCACATGCTTGCACGAGGCAAGAGGGGCCGCTGCTGCAGCTCCTTTCGAAGCTCATCTGAGCTCGCATAATCCTGCGAGGAAAGCTGCTCGGCACAAGCAACGTACTAGTATGCTTAAGCAGTGCACCAACCAATGATTGCCTTGGCCATACGAAAGCGCTCACGTGTGGCAACGAGCCTCAAGGGCATGAAACAGCTTAGCTTCGCTTTCTTTGATGCTATCATGTGCCATTCTCTCGGCCACAAGCCCTTCGATCTCGTGGTCCGCTAGCATTAGCCCGTCCTGCACGGTGATGCAATTGTGCTGCAATCGCGCGTAGACTTCATCAAGCCACCAATCAATGCACATGACCGTAGCAAGTAATTCGGACGGCAACAGGCTCATAGAAACTCACTGCAGTCCCTGGTTCGCTTGATAAGCTGCAGGGCCTGCCAGCGAAGACTTGCGGATACTTCTCAATGCGAAAGATTTCTGATCCCTCCGAGCCCAAGACCTGCTGCATCTCCGGCTTCCTCACGACTTACACTTGCATCACTTGAACTCCCCCTACACTAGCCCTACACGGATTCAGACAGTGCCCACCTTTGCGGTGGTGCCTCGGATCAGTCTGGCTGCAACCGGCATGTACTGGCACGAATCTGAGGAAGTCACTATCAGGCCATGACTGCCTATTGGCGCTTGCGACACGTGAGGTCGCCCTGAAGGTATAGGCCGGGCCTCTCAGTTTTGGGGGCACTAAGGCGCAGCACGACAGGCAAGACTTAATTACATGCTGTGACACTGAGACCTTGACTGGGGTTGCAGCTCCGGCAAAAACCTGGCTTGACCCAGTAGCAACTGTCACGACGCCTGAGACTTGGTGTGGCCTGGCGAAGGGCGTGCAAAGCTCTTGTGGCGGTGTCCTGGCGACGTGGGTAACTTCCGAAACTGCCGAATCATGCATCGAAACACGTCTTCGGCATTACCAGTACGTGTCCATCAGTGCAATTCAATTGCTAATTTCAAAGGAAAACCTGGCAGCCGAAGTGAGCTTCAAGAAGGGGAGTGGGTCGCAGACCGGATTTCTCGCTGCTGCGACCGCCAGCGAGACCAACTCCTCCTCATGGGAAGGCTTTCCCATGTACTTGGGTGCAGCGCTGTACTGGATCTGATGCCTCCACTGTAGGGACGGCCAGCCGGGCCTTATGGTTCCACTCGCATGTGAACCGTTCACTCGTGCTCCAGTACAGGTTTTGCAGACTCCCTGCGCTCGCGCGAAACCATCACTCAATCAAATCAACCCTCGCGGAATCGAAACTCTAGCTCCAGTATCAAATGCCGACGAGAGGCTGCAGCAGGAATCGCCGGAATTGCTGCTGCTAGCGGGCGCCTTGTAATCACGTCACTTCACTTCAAGATTACTGGTGCCTGTCGCCCGGCTTGCTTGCAGGTTGCTGCTGCGCAGCCGCACCAGGAGCTGCCTCACCACCTCCTGATGGCTGCTTTGCTGGCTTTGATATTCAGTTATTTCTTGCTGGGTTGGTGAATCTGGCAGTGCCTGTGAGCGAACCCCAACTCGGCACTGCCCCAGAGCGGCCATCCGCGCAGGACCAGGTCTTAGCAAGAACGGCTAGTCGGCTAGTCGGCTCGTCTTTGCATGCGGTGAGGATTGGAAGTCTTCGATATGGGCGCCACACTTTTCTTTTGTCATCGATGGTCACCCCACGATTCTTGAGCTCCTCGGCACAGACAGACCCTACACAGAGCAGAGATGCAGTGATGGAGCATTCGCTTTCGGCATACCAAGGCACGTCCCGAATCATGTCCGAAAGCTCGTAGTCGTTTCCCATCCTGGCCCTCGTAAAGTGGCACGACATAATGAAAGCTCAAGAACGCGCCGACACCTCAGATGCAGCAGAAGCATGCGCATCCCGGGCTCGGCACTTCTCTCTTTGTAGGACCAGAGTCGTGACTTCCACGTCACTCAGCCTTGAGCGAGGCAGCGAGGCCGGGGGACCCGGCCGATGCGTGGCACGGCCGTGGCGTCAGCTGAGGCCCAGGCTCATGTGCACGGAAGCCAGTGATGATCCCCTGCAGCCTCTCTCGGAGGTGTTCGTCTAACGTGTCTGCACTCTGTCTGCACTCATCGCAGCACTTTCTAAGGCTCACACCCCCTGCTGGGACCTGGTGGAAAAAGATACTACTGTATGCACCTTGGCATTCCCGCCTCGCAGTCCGAGCCGAGCAGCACTTCCAAAGCTTCTCTTTGTCGAGCAGCTCAACACCGAGCTCCTGCTTCCCACTGCATGTGCAAGCGGCTTCAAGACTCGAAATCAACTCATCCTGAAGATCTGCCCTGATCTTGTCTGCCTGGTCAAAGTCCTGGCACAGCCATTAACCAAGTGCACGAAATACAACGCAACTCATGAATTCACCTTGTTTCCCCGTGCCATCTCTCGATTTTGGATAAGCTGCTTGATGTCTTCCACGAGAGCCTCAACGAATCATGGTCACGGCGGTCCACAAAGGGGCTCTTTGCATGCTGAGATCCCAACATCACCATTTTGTGCTGGCAGCGGTGTCTCAACGGGTGAAAGCAGAGCCGAAGCGTCAATGCCCGCCTGGGCCAACGAGTTGATCAGTTGATGGCTGAAGGACTGACTACATATGAGGCTCAAGCTTCGATTTCGTCGAAGCTTGGAATTCGCCCCGTAACTCCGTCTGAGCACTTCCACCTCGTACACAGGAGCTGCTTGTTCAACAGGTTGTGCCAGCATTGGCAACCAATGTATGAACTCATGCAGCACACCTGCTTTATTGCTGCGACCATGCAACTGACACAGCTATCAAAGGCACAATCAAGCGCATCCGCGCAAGTCATGCGGATCTCGACCACGATACCAAACACGATCTCAAACACCACCAGCTTCAGAAACTTCATAGCGACTTATGAATCACTTTTCCATGTGATGCGGGCTATCTATTACCAAAACTGATGAAACCCAGCATGTACGCCCACCAATATTCAAAAGGAGCCCTGGTCCACTCGCCAACATCCTCAATACAAACGTTGCTTCACAACGGCAGATTGGCATCACAGGCGAATTCACTAAAACTCCTTCTGGCAAGCGCAGCGAAAAGCAGTGCAGCACCGCCACTGATTCGTCTTGTCAAACAACTGCACCTTGGAACAATCCGCAGCACATCTTGGACAAACGTCCAAATTTCCAGCCCTATTTTCGACATCTGCACATGGGAATAAAGTTACAAAAGCATGCCACATTGTGCACTGCGTAGTTCCGATTGCCCAAAGAATTGACGCTTGCAAAACAACTAGCGACCTCTGACACATCGTGCATCGCAAACCCCATGTCTAAAGCCGAATCGTACGGAGTTCGTGCAGAATCTGAGGGCTCTGCTCCTGCGTCCTGGAGCTGAGTGCGCAATAGGTCGGCCTCGACGATCGAAAATGCCAGGTCGACATGTGCATAATGCAGCGCAACGAATCAAACTGAAAAACATCAATGTCCATACATGTTTTCTGCACCAATGCGCGCATGTTGTGATGCAAAACGCCGCCTGGCCCCAATCCTTGCCAAGGCGAGCCTGTCAACAACGCCAACACAAGCTTCACTCCAAGGCCAACATGTACTTGGCAGGGCTAACTACATGTTTGCTTGATCTGGGATCGACGCGACATCGACGAACGGAACAAGCCAAAAAGCACCAAGTCGAAAAAAGATCGACTCCCCGACACTGACAGCAACGGATATGTGCTGAACGTCACGGCCTCGGGTGCGAACTTCTCAGACCACCACAAAAAAATCAAGCGAGTCGCAATGAACTTTCACATGACTTGGACCTGCTCGCGGAGGATGACCAAGCGGGCAATTTCCAGGGTTGTCGTCTGTCGATGTGGAGAGCGCGAACGTGACCTGCCATCAAATTTGGTTGCCTTGCACGCTGCGAACAGAAAACAGATGCTCTGCGTTCCAAGTCTTGGTCGTGCAGCACCCCGCCTTTGTCCCATCGGAATCATTCTGCTCAGGCAAACTTGACAATTATGTTCTGCTCTAAAGTTGCCACCTTTGCTTATGCAGTAAACCTAAGGAGCAGTCAAGGCATGATTGGGGCATTCAGAATCATCAATACAATCGTTGATCGCGTCGAAACCTACCCAACCAGGCTGGTGCAACGATGCAGGCACAAGGTCAAGCCGCAATGCGCAAGAACTGCTGTAAATGCTGCATAATGCCGTGCTTCACCTAGCAGCCTTAAACCCTGCATTGAATGACAAATGTGCCCATTCGAAAATGTCTGGGTTTCGCTCAACATTTTACATCATGTAAGTTCATGTTGCGAGGAATCTTGCCCGTGATGTCAACCTTTGCTACTACGGGACGCTGAATACAAGCAACCTCATCAGTTTTTGTTCGTGGTATGCTTGCAAACGATCCCGCCATTCAAAACCATGGAAATAGTCAAGAAACCTCTCGTTTCGACGGCACTCATTCCAACAGCTATTCCCGAAAGTGGGAAAACGAACATATGTGATACATTGTACATGATTTACAAAACCCAAATCCTTTCCTTCTTTTTGCGGCTAGAGCTCTCAGAGCTCTAGGGCATTCTGGGGCACAAGACACGCGTGCACCTGGAGGTACAAGTGTCACACAGCAATGCACGAAAATCGATATCGAGGGTCGAAGGCGGCGGAATGAGAGTTTTGCCTGCTCCGCCTGCTGAGCCGGCCCGCATAATGTCAATCTGTTCACAAAATGTCCACCAATGGACTAATGGATTGTGTGAGCATACCCCGCAGGGGCGGGTTGGGGGTTGGGGTTGAACCCAGGTTGTAACCCCAGGGGCCGGGTCCAAGGCGGGGGGGGTCCAACAACCTGAACCTGAGGTT